GAATAGTGGGCTCGGGACCAGCCCGAGGTACTGGCGGTTCCAGTTCGGGCCGGTCCATCAGCCCGAGGTACTGGCGGTTCCAGTTCGGGCTGGTCCAGGGGCGGACCCAGGAAGGTCATTTTGGGGGGGGGCGAAAATATTTTTGGGGGGGTCAAAATACTTTTTAGAAGAGCAAAAATTATTTTTCGTATATATATACACTAAAAAAAATTTGTTGGGGGGGCGGTAGCCCCCCTGGGTCTCTACTACGGTCCGCCCCTGGGCTGGTCCATCAACCCGGGTCACGGGTCGGATCACCCGCCGGGCTGGGTTGGGCCTAGGCAAATCCAATTTTTTTGCTTATTTGTACTTTATAGTTTTATACAAGTATAAAAAACAAACTTCAAGTGCATTTATTTGAAATGATGAATTACAAGTTTACAAGTTACAATTGATGGTAAAATTAAAACATGAAATACTAATCAATCAGAATCTTCGACATAGGTAGAGCCACCCTCGGTTGTTGATTCATCCATAAAGTGTTGGGATGAGGTGATGTCGAATTCTTGAGCTTTATGGGCCGCCTTCAATCAATCGTGGTACCATATAAGCATCTCAAGAGATTCTGCGCTCAACCTCGTTCTAGTTTGCGTTAGAACATTGTCGGTCGAACTAAATTCTTGTTCCACGGCAACTGTTGAAACCGGCATTGATAGCACTTGCTTAGCCATCTTTGCTAAAACCGGGAACATTCTTTCTTTTCCCTTCCACCAGTCTAGAACGTCAATCATCTTCTTCAAAATCATATGTTAAATACAAAGAAATCTCATTAATTGTGCTTTGTTGAGTAGCGGGAGTTATTTTAGTTTTTTTTAATAAGATTGGCAAATGTAGATTTCAAAATTAATTTTCCTTTAGATGAAGATGTTTGTGTCGGGGGAGGTGGCACGTTGTCATATTGTGCATGAAACTCATTAAATAATGCATAAAATATATCACTAACCTTGTTGTATTCTTTTTTCGGATAAATTGAGTTCTCGTCATACATTGGCAAAGGACCATAAAAAGCTTGATAATAATAATTCAAACATTCTTCTAAAGAACCAAGTCTAAAACGAGGATCGAGAACAAATGCAATATCATAAATATGCGGAATATGTGCATAATATTTTAAAAACTTTTCCTTCATAAAATCAGCAAAATAACTCACATAATCGGCATTCTCAAAAGTTGCAAAAGCACTGGTAAGATTAACAGCTTCACGAATAAATTGGTTTGAGGGAGGTTTATAAACATGACTAAAAGTTTCAGTTGCATTATAAAAATATACCAAAGCATTACAAGTTTTTTCACAGGTGTCGATCTCAGCCGAGTTTATAATATAGTTATCATATTGTTTTAAAAAAGCAGGAAAATGTTGTTTATATCTAAGAAGAACTGTCATTAACCTATAAGTACTATTCCAACGAATAGACAAATCTTTAGGAAAAGCCACATATTTCTCACCTCTTTCTATCAAATAATCATGTCATTTTTTTCTTAAGTTGACCACTACCCCAAATACGTCTAATCTCCCCTTTCACTACCTCCAAAGAATTTCCTAACGCTTTTAGACCATCTTGCACATATAAATTTATAACATGACATGCACATCGTTGATGAAAAAATCTACCCATCAAAGAAGTAGAACCACACAATTCACGCAATCTAGGAATAGCAGCAGTATTATTAGTAGCATTATCAAAACCAATAGCAAACACCTTATCCATTAAATTATAATCAATTAAAATACGCTCAATCAAAACATAAATATGTTCAGCGGTGATCGCGCTGTGTTTGGACTTAAGATGCCTAATTTTGCATACTCCACCGTGTGTTTGGACATAAGATGCCTTGCGGCGGATCCGTATCCGCCGGAAATCCCCAAGCTATAATTTTTCTTGCGCCACTTGCAAGCTGCGTTCCAATTCCCGGTGTTCGGGTTCTTCCACTTATCAAAATTATTACGCATTAGTTTAGATTTACTTTTTTTCGTACCTGTTTGGATGAGGCAGGCTTGTCGTCATCGTGGTTGCCGCCACCCTCCTCCACGTCGACGTCGTGGCTCTCTAGAATTATTTCCTCCACATCGTCGTCCTCGAGCTCTTCTTCGTCAATGGTCCTCGGCTGGTCTTGGAAAAACCGACTATTATGTCGGTGCAATTCTTGTTCTAGTTGTTCGTCGGTCATGGCATTCCCATTTCTCCTTGCGTAACCTGTATCAAAATCATCTCGGCTTTGAAGAGCCGATATGTGATTTACCTTTGCGGGATTTCTTCCTCGCAAGCTCGTTCGTTCGGTTGCGGTCGAGGTTATCCATATCAACCGAACTAATGAAATAAAATTCTAACAATTCTAACTTTAATTCGTACTAACAATTATTTTATGTACTAACAATCAAAGTATTATATAAAATGTACTAATTCGTACTAAAATGTACTAACAATTCGAACTAAGTAGATATAAATTGTAATATGTATGTATTTAGTAGATATAAGTAGATAATAAGTAGAGATTAAGTAGATAACAAATATAAGTAATATAATATATGTATTTAAATATATAATTAATATATAACTACATAAGTAGATAAGAAATATAAGTAATATAATATATGTATTTATAAGTAGATAAATAATATAAGTAGATATATAATATATTGGAGAATAAGAGAATTTGAGAAGATGAAGATAATTAGAGAGTAGAGAGTAGGATTTAGGAAGAGTTGGAGAAGAGATATGAAAAAATGTTTAAGATTAGGAGTATTTATAGTTTTTTTTACCCCTCCCCCACCCTCCCCCTCCCCCAAAGTGCCTGGACCCCCTACCAGCCCACCCAACGGCTATATAGCCGTTTGGGTAGTCCCCAGCCCACCCCAACGGCTCGCTATTGGCCCAATTAAAAGGATGAAGAAATATGATTTTCATTGAAAATCCAGCCGGATATGGCCTTTATCTGATCGGGTATGAATTGAAAAATGAAACTGCTGGGAAATTATACTGATACCCCGGTCGTGTATGAATTGAGTCCGGGCAAAAAGATGTGCTGAAGAACATAAATGCGTGCGAGAATGATTGATTTTGATCGATACCTGATCGGGTATCCGGCATAGTTGAGTTAAACACCTGTAAATAGCACCATTTTCCTTCATTTTTTTCATCACTTCTTCCATATACCTAAGCTCAACTTAGAATAACATTTTTTTATATTTTTCCATTGTTCTAAAACTCGCTAGGCGCTAGCTGGGCGGTTGAAGGGCGCCTAGGCGGCCGACTAAGCCGATTTTTTGCCCGACTAGGCCGATTAGTCCTCTACAGTTAGGGTCGACTAGGCCGATTAATTGGTCCGTCTAAATCAATTTTTAGATAAGTGTGTTTTTCTAGCATTGATTAGTCTCCAAATGAGGACTTAAACTCCCATTTCTTGATTTTGCTCTTGAAGTTTGTTGAATGTTTAAGTTGTGAGTTATTTTCTTATTTTCTTCTATTGAATATTAATTCTTCCCTTAATCTTATTTCTATATTAATGTTGAGGTGTTGCTAAGTGATGATTAGCTAACGCTTTGACATTAATTACTATTAGAAACGATCAATGAACTAATGGTTAATCGGTTTCATAAGAAAGTAAATTCATATTATAAATGCATGGTGATGGAGTTTGCAGTCCCCAGCCCAAGACTGGGGCCCGCCTATCAGCCCAGTCAAATCCTGCCATCCCGACCGACTTGACAACCAGGAAAAGTAATGGTCAAGCAATTAATGCGCTATTTAATTATATATTTAATATTTAATTCCGTATTAATGTTGTAAATAATTAGTCATTATTATTTATAGCAATTAGATTTGTGCATGCCTATAAAAGACAGTCGTAATTCAAATGAGCGATAGGCTATTTCTGACAACTAACTCCCTTGACAACTTTCCATTTTGATATTATTTTCTTGATTCCTGTTTGAGTGTCTATCGTAGCTTTCCTAAAAATTTACGAGCGTTCATTTTTGGAACAACACATTGTCTCATTGTTAGTAATCTTAAGAGAGATTAATTGTGTTGGTTAAACTGATACTGTTGTGTTGAGGTTATCTATGTCAATTGATTTTCATCAAAGAGTTAGAAGATTAAATGCTACTATGAAGTTGGTATATATTCTATATTTGGTAAATAGTAAGAGTTGTTAATGAACGGTCTCATTATTAGTAACTACTCTCGATGAATTGAATATACTCAGGGGCGGAGCTACATGTAACCCCAAAGGGGCCATTGCCCCCCCCCCCCCCCCCCCCCCCCCCATTTTTAATTTTTTTTTATTAATTTTACCTTAAATTTTTTTTTGCCCCCTCCCCCCCTCCCCCCCAAATTAATAAATACATATATATTAGTATATATTTATATATAAAAAATTCTGACCCCCCTTACCCTAAAGTCTGGCTCCGCCCTTGAATATACTACTCGGTTAAGTATTCGAGAGGGGATTAGTTAAAATCTTAAAGATATAAACGGGATCAACAAACATATCATCAAGTAGAAACTAGTAAAACCAAGTTTTTATTCTTATTAATCCAAACCACATAAGTCATTCATCTTAGTGTATAATTAAATCAAGTCAATCCTAACCTCCCTCCCCCCCCCCCCCCCCCCCTTAATTACAAGTTCAATAAAAGAAAAGTATTACTTTCTCTATGGATACGAACCCTCATTAGAATATACTATGTATTAGTGTTAATATTGAATTTATTTTGAGGCGCATACGACTTTAGTGTCGTCATTAATGCAGCCCATAGTTTTTCTGTGATGAAAGTAAGGAGTATAAGTCCCACCAATATGGTGTGAAGTCAAAAGGGTTTAAGGAACAATTATCTTTGATATATGATCTTTGGAGACCTTCTCAACAAACATGATACCTCTTTATTCCACAATAGGAAGGAGACATGTGTTGTGCCATCCACCACTCTCACATTGACCTTATACCTTCATCAATTACAGGAGGCAATGATGAATATAGCAAGGCAGGAGTTAAATACATGAACTTCATAGGTGCAAACCTTAGAACAACATCATTAGAATGGGAAGTAGAACACTGAAAGTTGTAAGATTTGGTGATACTTTTATATTAAATCCAATACGTGTAGTAGGATCAGTCCATGTGGCCAGTGGCGGAGCCAGAGGTTTGTCCAAGGAGGGGCAAATCAAAAACTAAAAATTTTAAAGTTCGTGTCCAAAATATAATAAGAACAACAATAGCGTAATAATTTAACAAACAATTATAGTTCATTACATACTACTTGATTTACTTCTGCAACCTAGGCAAATCAATCTTACGAGTTTTCATATTTTGAAAATGCTTCATAATAGCTTCATTATCAATTGCTTGAAAAATGTCTCTTTCGATGTAGCATACTAAGCAATTCGTAAGATAGTCATCTCCCATCTTATTGCGAAGATCTGTCTTGATAATATTCATCGATGAGAAAGCTCTTTCAACTGTGGCTGTTGCAACTGGTAACACTAGAGCCAACTCAATAAGACGATAGACCAAGTGAAAAGATTTGTGAATTGTAAGCTCAACCATCTTCTTAGACACTTCACCAATACTTTGTAAAGTGGAAAATGCTTCATTTCCTCTCATCTCATATATCCAAACTTGGAGTTGTTCTTTAAGCTCCATTTGCTCAACAGCTGAAAAATCAGATGAATATAACTCCGCAAGACTGAGTAGCTTTGACTCACAGAAATTGGAAAAATTATCTTTAGGATCGAGGCAAGCTAAACAAGCGAGTAAATCTGTATTTGACTCACTAAAGCGATTCTCCATTTCCAGATTGACCTGGTCTATAACCTACAATAAGGTAATAATAAAAAATAGTAGTAATGGTAATAATAATAATGATAATAATAATAATAATAACAACTAATAAATAATTTAAATTTTAATAAAAAATACCTGATAAAAAATATCAGCTCGAAAGTGATGATAATTTGTTACCGGATGGCGAACGCGTCTAGAACGATGAGTTGTATCTTCCATGTTTAGAATGTCAATTTTATTCTTCACACAAAATTTACTGACATCTTCTAATAGCTCTTCCCATCCACTTTCTCTCAAATCTTGGAACTTCTCTTTAGTGTTTTTAATCAAGCTCACAGCCTCAAGAATGTTCTGATCTTTTTGTTGCAAGAAATGTGACAACATATTCGTCAATCCCAATACCTTCTTCATCAAGTGGGCTATAAAAACAAATTGATAGCTCTCCATTTTTTCAACCAAACTACTAGCTTTGCCCCTTGATTTCGAATCAATTCCATCATCAAATATATTGTCAAGCACTTGGATTGTTGGAGACCACAAAGATAGAATACGAATAATGGTTGTAAAATGTGAACCCCATCGAGTAGCTCCCGGTCGTGCTAAAGTACTTTCTTGATTCAATCCTCTCCCGGTCGTAATTTCACCTTTTTCTAACATGGCTACCATGTTTTCATGTTGTTTTTGGCGAAATTCATCTTTTCTTTTACAAGAGGATCCAACCATGTTAGTAATCATGGACAAATATTCAAAGAAATCACTCACAAATTTATTTTTTTGAGAAACAGTCATGACAACTAATTGCAATTGGTGAGCAAAACAATGAATATATCTCGCATGTGGATTTTCATTCAAGATAAGAGTCTTCAATCCATTCAACTCACCTCGCATATTAGAAGCTCCATCATACCCTTGTCCTCGAACTCTAGACATTGATAATTCATGTTTTGAAAAAAAATCATCAATGCCACTTTTTAAAGAAAGAGATGTGGTCTCAACAACATGCTTAACCCCAAGGAACCGCTCAATCACAACTCCATGATCGTTTACATATCTCACAACAACTGCCATTTATTCTTTCACAGAACTATCACGAGCTTCATCAATCAATAAAGAAAAAAACTTGTCACCAAGATCATTTATTATGGCTTTTGTTGTTTGTGATGCGCAGGCATTAATAATATCTTTTTGAATCATAGGACTAGTAAGTTGGTGATTCGAAGGTGCATTGTCTTTCACCACTTTTGCCACATCGGCATTGCGTGCACTATACCATTCTAGCAATTCCAAGAAATTTCCTCTATTTAATGAGCTCTCTCGCTCATTATGACCACGAAAAGCCAATCCTTGTGCAATTAAAAATCTAGCACAATCCACACTTGCATTCAACCATTCCCAAGTTTTAAACCACTCTCCTCGAAAGCTCCTTAATGTCTTACCAAATTCAGTTCGTGGAAATTTATGAGATGCTGGTTGACAAGCACCTTTAACAACATATGCTCTCATCACATCATCCCTAATCCCCGGCGCATATTCATTAATTGGTTTTCGTAAAAATGGATCACTAATAATATCCCATTCATGTGTACTTTCTGTTCGGGCTCTCTTGTCCCTCTCATTCCTCTCATCTCTAGCAATATTTTCATTTGACGCAGTGGCATTTTCAACACTAGAGATAGACTGATTAGGAACAATTGAAGAACTAACACCTCCAATCAAAGACCTCTTAGTCTTAATTACAAATTTATCCAAACTCATACTCCTAAATATAACAAAAATAAGTATGAATTAAAAATGTTCCTTATACAAATAGCATTAAATTGCATCTAGAACTGAGATTTGAGGATTCACACAAATAATTTCTGACTTTTCGTTAGGGATGAGAGCAAATAATTAATATGGGCATAAATTGGCAGATAAGAAACTTACTTGAAAATTGCAGAATCTGAGAACAAATGGGGAGAAGTGAGAACTAGGGCTGGATTTGGTTCAGGAACCGAACCGAAATAGGAAATATCCGAACCGAACCGATCTTTCGGTTTCGTATATTCTATAACCCGAAAACGAACCGATCTAAGTTGGGACCCAATTTTTCGGACACCGAATTTTCGGTCCGGTTATTCGGTTTTTTCACAAAAACCGAATGGGTATTCAATATTTGTTTATATTGTAGCTAATACTTGCACTCAAGCTTTACTAGCAACTTAATCTTTATCAACTATGAAGGAGCGATTATATAGGCTCAAATGAGGAGTGAATCCTCTATTTCATCCGGTGTGGGACGAGTTGTAGGCTGAAGAAAATAAAATTGGAAGAATTGGGGCGGAAGAAAAGCAAAACAAGTTTAACTTAATCCGTCATGGGGGGATTCGAACACGGGTGATACGAAGGGAGCGTGTTACCTGTCTCCACTGAGCTACTCCGGATTATTGGCAAATTGGGATGTCAAATGTATTACATACATTAATCCCCTTTTATTCTATATTTCATTTTTTTTACTTTTTCTGAAAATACTTTTTTATTTATTTTAACACTTCATCTTAAAATAACCTTAAGTTGTACTTATTGTTTTTAAAATTTAAAAAGAAGCCGGGGCAAGAAACATATTATAAGTAATACTAGTAAAAAAAATTAGTCGGAGCGGGGGCGCTTGCCCCCCTAGCTCCTCCACTGCATGTGGCTGTCTATCGCTACAATCTCACCATAAACCCCAATGCTTCCCATCCTATAAAGTGAAATTCAGACCTTGTCCACACCTCTCAACCATCCTTTTTAGATGAAATCCTTACTTTCTAAGGGTGCAAAAGTTGACTTTGTTAACAGTGATTATCAATCACTCTACTGCTCTTATGCCAGCTGCATTAGCTGGCCAGCACGAAGCCTGCAGGCTTCTGCTTGAACATGGTGCAAATCCAAATGGGCATATGCAAGTATGCAACTTTGAATCGTCCAGCCAGGGTTAGTAGAATAAACCCTTTGCACCTAAATTGTGAAACACATGCTGCAAAATGGAGCAAACCCGAACTCCGAAATTGTTGCAATGTTTGGTGATGAAGTTTGGACGCCAAGGAAACCAATAGAGGTGGTCAAAGTTCTTTTCAACTGTACTACACCAATTGAAATTTATGAGGAGTGGAGCATTGATTGCATTCTGGGTAACTTGCATCCTGGAAGTATGAGGACAGAGGAGGGGAGGATGCATAACAGGAAGGGAAGAAGAGTATCCAAGAGGTGGTGAAATGTGAAAAGTAGCATCATATCCTCCTTTGATATTAAGGAGGACTAGTTATTTAATGGGCGCATACTATTGTTTTCCCCTCCGAGAATTATAATTAAATTGTTCTCGATTTTATTAAGACAAAATGCAATATTACAAATTGGTAAAGACTTCTTTTTATACAACATTTAACGTGGAGTTTGTCGATCTACCATTATCGTCATATATCAAAAACTTCAAACCAGCTGGACTCGTGACTCTTGATACAGCAACGTAAAGGATTTTGTTATCTTAATAAGTTGTTATGTTCTTTGTTCGCTGCCATTGAAGCGTGGATGATTAGTGAAGCGTGGACGATTGATCTCTTTATATTAGTCAATCTCAAATTCTTTTGTGACTGAAATGTTGGATGTTGTTGCAATAAATTAATTACATCATATTAATAGATTTAAAAAGATTATGCTTTTACATTGATATGAAAGTGAATATAATTATGCTGTCAAAATTCCTTTCCAATACTTGTACAAGTAATGAGCATAAATAGATATTCTAATTTCTCATCACTCACCATTGAATGAGAAGGGCAGAAGGTTAGGGGAAAAACCTCAGCAAGATTTGTGAAACTAGAATTAATTAGCAAATGTCGAGCCCACAAAAAAGAGTACTTATTTTGAAACGATGAATGAGGTAATTTAGAGGGTGAGAGATTATTTTTATAAATAAGGGTTTCATAAAACTGACATTCATTTTTCTATCGTATTTTACTCAACTAGTACAACAAAGAATATTTTGTTTTTGAAAATATATAATTTTATTTTTCGAACACTTGTATACAACCAACATTTACGCAGTTTCTGTATATCACTTCTCATAAGCACTGCAAACACAAATACAACCTAATATATTTCTGTTTTTAAATCATATCACCTTTTACCATTAAGCTTTTCTGTAATCAGTAAAATTAGTCACTTTTCAAAATCACGAGCTACGCAGAAACTGTAATAACCTGGTGAAAAAAACTTGCTCCATTTCCAAGTGCTTAACAAACACAAAGTCTTGACTTTCTATGAGAAAACAAACACCCTTCACATCATGAGTATCCAAGCATATAGCTGCACTTTTTAAGCACAGCAGATTAAATATGCCCATTGAGTTCTAGAGTCAATTCATAATACAAGAAAGTCTCCAACTCTCATTGAAAACAAATGATAATACTTCAGAAACGCACTTCCAAAAAGTCTTGACTTTCTATGAGCTTTTTATTAATGAAATGAAAAAATCACTTCCAAAAGCCCGTACAATATTTCCAGCTTCTCTTGTGGATGCATTGATGAAAAGGGTAAAATTATTCCTTAGTGGGCTGCCATGGTTCGTATCTAGTCCAGTCTCTTTGCCCACGATGGAGGGAATGTCCTTTGGAATGATAGATATACTCATCACCCTCTCCTGAGAAGTTCTCTTTGTGTTCAACCCCATATCTCTTTGGCTTCAGCAATAATAGCTGCACCACGGGCATTTCGTATAAAAAAATGTATTCTGAGTGGCATTGATATGTACCGAAGAACTATGGGTTCAATGACATACCTCATCTCCTGTGTGGTCAGTGATGAAATGGAGCCAACCATGCCACTCTGGTGGAACTTGTGAAGCGTTATAGCGACCCTTTTGAGCATATTCCACCCACCTATGTCTTCCTAACCAATCATTCCTTACTCAGTTGAACGTAATGAAACTTTCACGAAATTTGATATTACTTTGGATTATTGGAAATATAAAACTACCTATGTAACATTATTCAGTGCACATTACAAGGAAAGTGTGTGACTCGCGTCTGATTAAGATGGTCAAAATGCAATATAAGTGTGTTTAGTTGCTGATTATATTTAATTTCATAATGGCTAATTTACTCTATCACTCTCATGTGAATATATTAATAAGTATATGTGAGTGCGTGCATATCTTAGGGCGAACTTGGAATACTTACAAGGCAATATCATACTACCTACAGAATGAAGGCAATCACAATACCATGCATACAGTCTCAATCCTGGTGTTACGGTAATAGGAAATTACCCGGATGATCACGAAGCGTAAACATCATGAGACTTTATAGCATGATAATGTTCACATTCACATTATTTTGATGATCTCAACTAGCTTGAACAAAAGCCCCTTTAGAAGTATTCAAGCTTTAGAACCTTAATGCTTGTGGCTTGAACACCATTTTGGTGGCTGAAACTATACCAATTTGGTGGAAGTTAAAAATAGACAAACTCAATGGTGGCAGCATTTCCGTCATCATCTTTCACTTAGCAATATACTACGCATAGGGGTTTAATTATGAAACTAATGATTCGATTTAAGTGCTTCTTATCTAGTCATAAATGTTTATGAATACTTGAATAGTGTTAACTAGATTGGATCAGTGTAAAATGAACTTTGAAGAGATATGAAGAGAAATAGAAGATTCACCAAATATACCTCAGCAATATTTTTAGGTTATAGACAAGTAAGCAGTATTTACTCGGACACAGAGTTGGCCCAATTAGGCTCATAGATACATTTAAAATGTTTAACGACCGCTGGCGAATATTGAGGTTAGAGGTACAAAGGGTGAATTTGATGATTCAATGCTTTTCCATTAAGTCATAAAATTAAAACAAGTATGAAGACTGTTCACTGTATTGAACCACTAAGATAATTTTGGCCCAGTTAGACTCATAAATAGTTTGATATATTGCACTATTCACATATCCTACATTGACTATTTTTTATGCTAATTTATAAAAGAAATGCTATTATGTAAAATACTACTCTCTCTGTCCCCTTTTGTAGATTACAACTTCGTTCTTGAACACTTTCCTAAACTGAACGCCACCAACTTTTTCTTTCTCACGATATCCATTTATCTATCATTTCACTCTTTTACTTTTTATGGACTGATTCTACTTTTTCTTACTTTTTGATGATACAATTGTAAAAGACCAACTATATTTGTATCTTACTTTTTGGGGCGGAGGAAGTATTAACTTCTTTGAAATGTAAATTTTCAAATTTCGAATGTAAAAAAAAATTACTACCTCCGTTCCCCTAAAATTGGGACGGAAGGAAGTGATGTGGTTGTTAAGAAAAGTAGAATTATGTGGTTGATAAAGTAGTAATAAAGTAAGAATGAATTAGAGCCACACAAATGTTAACAAATATGGTATGGGACAATAATAGGAGGACATCCAAAAGTGGAAAAATGGGACAATTATAGGGGGGCGGAGGGAGTATCAAATATATTAAATGTCAAAATCATGTCTTTCCGATGTAAGTTATACTGTTGCAATCAACAACGAATGGAGGTTAAGTATAACTCAGCAGGACAATACAGGTTCAGAGGATGAGAACCGGACATGCAGAAACTGTCATGTGTGGGAACCTGGTCTTACAATGACGAATTAGCCCTTGGTGATTGCAGTATTTTATCCTCAACTATTATGTAACAAAGAGTGATCCGGAAAAATGAGTGGACTGCAGTTCACCTCCGCCATACTTTTGGAAATCTGTAACATCTCTGTTCTATCCAAACCAAGGACAAACTTTAGCCATTGGGAAAGGCAAGAACACCCAATTTAGAAGTGAAAGCTGAAAAAAAGCAGCTCCGGGGAAGAAATAATTATTAGACCTAGACAGACAAATAGATCGACTTCAGAGAGGCAAGCCAAAGGAATCCAAGTAAAGGCTCCTTGATTCAAGGCCAGGAATGTATTTCATACTAATGCCAAGGAGTGGATAATAAAAAAAGGTGTGCGCTGGTGCGAGAAGGCTTTTCATAGAAAGGGTACATGGAAAGAATATAAGAAACAAAATAAGTATCCGCTAATAAGTGAAGCCTTGAAGGTGAGAGCATTTCGTGATAATATTAGTGGAAATAAAAAGTTATATTGCTTGAATGATGCATACCATATTGATTGTCTCCAAGCTTCTGATAGTATTTGTTACCAAACTTATCGACACCAACAAGTGTGGCCCCTATGTTGTGAATCTTTGTTTGCCTGAAGATATGAGCAAAACAATGATTTCATTAAACATCAACATCAAGCACAAAGGTAAAATTACTCCTTTGGAGAGGGTGAGGACAATGGATTAGTGGATTCCACATTTTTATAGGTGCACTATGCATTATAGTCACTATTGTTAAGGTTGTGAAGTGGATCACACATTCATGTGCTCTTGGTGTGTGTGCTCCATTGTGTTATAAAAAGATGCAACCAGTGTACATATAAAAGGAACATAGCAAATATAGAAGCCCTGCCTATTTCAATATCACAAATGGATTTATAAATTACTCCCTTTGGTCCTTGATACAAATCAAAATTTAGAAGGCACTGGTGGTCCTTATTACAGAGTATTAAGACATTTCAGTTTTCTAATGAAGCATTTGATGTTTTTCACTATTTGACCAAAAGAATTTCAGTATATTTAGGCTTGTATTGCTCTGGAATAAGAATATGATGACTAATGAGGGTAATATATGCAGTACAGGATACTGTGGAGTACTACAATTACTTTATCACCAGTGACTCGCATGATAGGGCCATAACGAGTATATCAAAGAAATGAAATAATCAGATGTTTGTTCACATGCTGCAAATTTCCCTATACTTTTCCCTGGTTTTAACAACAAGATAACTGCTGCTAAATGTCTAAATCATATGGGATACTAGCTAATGAGTTGGAAAAGTAAAAGTTGTACACTCACAGGAGGTTACCATCGAAGAAGCACTTCCTGTAAAACAAAATGCAACAGATGACAATGTAAGTAGTTGACAGGTTTATGCAAGCAATAACACATTCTGTGGTTGCAATCAAGAGAATAAAAGGAAAGAAAGAAATCATTATCATGAACCAATCTCACAAGGGAATTAACCAGATCTGGTTGATTTTTGCTCTCACCCAATTTCTAGATAGATAATCAGTGAATTATTCCTAAAAGACCAGATATTGTCCAAATATATAACAGCTTAAGAGTTTCAGCCAGAACCATCCATAAAACAGTTACATCCGACTAGGCAAGAACAGCTAACGACATGGATAGTTAAATGAATTAGATTAAACATAAATAAATTTTATTTCTCTTCAGTGATCAAAATTAGGCATCTGACTTATTAAGCATATGGCTTGAACAGGGCTGCTATCTATTGCGGCAAGAATTAAGAGCGTCTGGCACAATCTTCATGCAGCTGACTCCGAAGGACAATTTATTTATTCACCTATTCATGTGGTTATGGGCTTATGGTGAACATCAATTTCACTTGGGGATCATGAACCATATCAACACACGATACAGAATTTCAGCTTACGCTTTGCATAGAAATGAACAATGGAGAATTAAACAAAGAAACAAAAAGAATTATCTTTAGACTCCAAACAAAAAGAATTATATTCAGACGGCCTTTTCAGGCTCAAGTTTGTTTTTAAAACGAACTAAAAACATCGAAATTAAAGAATTGATACATGATAATTGTAGCACTGACGTGTAGCCTTCTTCTTTGAGCTCCCTGAGAAAGTTGCCAACGCCCTTTTCCCGGATTGACTTCAAGACATTCTTCACCACCGAAGCCATTTCTCTCCTACTTCCTCCCCACCAAATTCAGTCAAATATGGAAGAACCAATAAGCCCCCTCTATTTAGAGAAGGGGCTTGAATCTGGGTGACCGAGAGAAATCTAACTCATTTATGGGCTTTCAGGTCCAGCCCAGAAATCTAACTCATTTATGTAATTGGACCGACATTTTTATGATATGTTCTGATTTGATACGATTAATATAGTTTGGTTCGGCAAGGTGGCAATGATCTATTTTATGTGTATATTATTTGGAAAAATTGATCGTAATAATTACAACTATTGGCGGTCCGCTAATAATAATTTCAACTATCGATTATTTCTGAATAATCCTAACTTTAGGGACCTTCCGCCAAGAATGGTCCGATGTGACCGACTATATATAAATTCATATAGTTTCTAAAAAGATATAGCAGGTGATCCCTATAAATAATCCCAAATTTTAATTTTTACGCTTAATTTCTATTAAAAATTCACTGGTTAGAGCAGGTAATATGCGGTTATGGACCATTATTGGAGGACGGTCCATATAGTTGGGATTATACAAAAATAATCAATAGTTGGGATTATTATTAGCGGATCAACAATAGTTGGGATTATTATTTTCAATTTTTCCATATTATTATTGTCCAAGTCTGTCTGATTGAATATGAGTGATGGATCGTTGATCCTGAGGGTAGCCGGAATCCGGGAAAAGTAATGGAGAAGATCGGAAAAGCTTAAGTAAGAACGAGTAAGTATTTCTGCAGAGTAACAGCAAGAGAATTAAGTTTCAGATCCCTCTCCACATGTTGGAGGGTGATATTTATATTAAAGGAGTAATATTTGGTGCCTAAGTAAAAAACATGTTATTCTATTTTAGAGAGGACACATGTCATGCCTATCTAAAAGACTAAACAAACTAATCCAATGGGGTGTTGCCACATGTAAAGGTGATTGGAGAGATGAGTGGGACAGCTGGCTCATTGGAACTGTATGTAACAAACTTGTACCGGAATACACGTGCGGGCTACACGTGTGATGGATAGTCTACCCGGGGGTATGTATCCGAAGGGTTACTGCAGGGAGTAACTAGAGAGAAGTCAGAGCAAGTAAGAGAGAGAAAGTGTATTGAATATATGAGCTCAAAGCGTATTAGGAATCCGGTTTACAAAGGGGAAATGGGGTGCTATTTATAGTAGCAATAAATGTGAGAAGGGGACACGTGTCATGCATCCAACGGCCGAGGGGTCACATCAACCGGGTGTCACTGGCATTCGCATGTGGCCGCATTTAATGCGGCGGTTGGATGTGACGTTGTACTTGGTACGGCGACCCATGCGCATGTGGAGAAGATATTCTTGTCGAGGAAGGTACCCTCGGCTGTAGATGATTAGCCGAGGGCTCTTCCTGTCGAAGGCCCCTTAAGGCCGAGGGCTCCAGGCGCTGAGGGCTACTGTTTTCCGCCATTTTCTCCCAGTAACCTTGTATGCTGAAAATAGCCTTTCTGTGAGTATCAGGAGCCTTCGGCCAATTGGCCGAAGGCACCCCCAGTGTGTATTGTTGGCTGCTTGGTACTCGGGGCGCTGTGATTTGGGCCTGTTGTGCTTCTTGGGCCTATTGGGCCTTGGTTTAGAGCAGTATGAGTCTATGGGTCGGGGGTCCCTGGGCCATATACTCCATCAACGTGTATTTATCTGGAATGCCTCTAACTTTATCCACTGGGAGTGACGTGGTATCTCTCAGGGTACTGGTGATGTGGTGGCAGCTTGGGCTGCACTTGCTTCCGTGAAATGCTTAAGTCCATAGAGTGTTTAGTGAGACCCCGAGCTCCCTAAGGTCAGAGCTTGGATGCTCGTGCTCATTGCTAGAGGATGTGTCTCTGGTCTTTGGTCTTGTCTTGTAGCGTTGACTCTTTTGCCTGGCTTGGCTTGACTTCGGTTGACCTTGCGTCAGTACCCGAGGCTAGAGTTGGTACCAATCCCGGTGTGCCGGAGGTCGGCCTCATATTTTGCCTTGTCTGGGTATGTGACACTCCGAAAATTTAAATAATATAAAATAGATAATAACATCAACTTGATAAAATTTTAACATATTACAAAATGACATTTTAAACATATTCTTAATTTGAGAAGTGTATCAATTAAATTTATATATGTAATATATATCCACTTTAAGAGGCAACCTAAAATATGCTACGGGAGTAGTGGAGTACTACTTACCAAATGGGGGAGTTGACTTTTCAAATATGGTTTTTAGTTATAACACCTCATACGAGTCATACATACATACATAACACGTGCATGCATACTACGGAGTATTATTATAACATACGCGCAGGTCTTTAATAGGAAACTGCCGGAACGATTATTACACATAAAATCCTAGGCTCCTAGAATCATCGGTTACGTGTGTATAATTATGGAAACAATGGAAAAGATTTTTAACATATGAAACGGAAATTCAATGTATGGCCTGGAATACCGGCGAACCCTATACAAACAACATGTGATCAAAGTATATATACATATATATACATACACCATCTAAAACCACGCCATATTCATACACATACAATACGTTCTTTCAGCACGTCGCCAGGAAAGAGGAAGAACGCAATTATTTTATGCCTCTTCGCCACGCCATTACCGGACTGCGTAGTCGCCGGAAGGGAAGAGGAAAAAACGACCGCCGGAGCCCGGAGAGGAAACCAAGCTGTGGCAGTTCAACAACACCGTCTCTTAACACTGGCCTGTTTGCGCGCTGCTGAAGGATAAAGAAGGCCGTCGTACGAATCTCTACCGCAGGTTGTCCCCTGGTCCACGCCGGAGTGACGTTGCAGAGGTACCGGAAGGGGGAAGACCACGTCGACATCCTTGCTGGAGTGAAGAAGTCTCTAGACAAACCGCCATTGTTGGAAGGAGGGCTGTCTGTGATCAACCGTCCCCGTCTGCATCGCCGAAGCTGTGGGAGAAGATGACCGGCCTCCTGCGCACGTACGTTATACTTCGTATTATTTTATCCTTATGCGTTGACGGTTATAACTTGAGCAAATTAAAGTGATCTAATTTGGAGCACTATGCGTTGAAGGCTTATTTGGGGTACTGTCGTCGTATGAGTTGAAGTCTTATTTGAAGCAAATTAAAATTTAAGTGGTCTAATTAATAACAACGTTGAAATTTATTTGTACAAAGGACTAAATGGCTCGACTAATTCAAGGGGATCAAAATAACAAATTTGTGCCGGTTAAGCTCAAGTTATTAAGAGTCGGGGTAAAAATAGCAAAAGTAAAATAAATTGCTAATCCTAGAATTTTAATATTCTAGAAGGTGAGTTTTGGAGAAGATCGAGATAGAAGCTTTGATTATGAATTATCGCGATTTGAGGTAAGTTTCTCTGCCAATCCAAAAATCGTTTCCTCGTATTATATATGTATTATGTGATACGTGATTTTAAGTGTGAAGTATGATTTTTATGCATGTGATTCTGAGATGATTCGTGAAACTAAGTGCCTTTGGGGGTAAATATTTTATCTAAATATTTTTAAAGCAGTTTGAGAAATTGAGAAATATTTTGAAGTATATTAATTCCAGATAAAAGAATGATTTCATAAGAGGTGAGCATCACGGGAGAAATCCGTGGTGTCGGTTTTCCACGTCCGGATAAATGTGGAGGGTGATTAGGTCTGCTACTACTAAGAAGTACAGTTTGAGTTTAAAGTGATATTTGGATCGATGATCCCTTTTAAGAAGAAGTTATGGTAGTAGTAGTCCCTAATCATTCAAGATATCTTATTCAGGGGTAGTTGGTAGACTGAGTCCCGACTACTCGTTACGACTTACTACTCGGAGGGCTTGGAATCCCTTTTAGGGGGTGTGCACACTTAAGGTAGTCGTTCCGTTTCCAACAGAGCAGTTGTGGTGCCGGCACTTGTTCGGGGTGGCCGTCCGTAACCACGGTCCACCGGGCTCTACCGAAAGGTTGAGCACCGCCCTTCTAAATTACTAGGAAGTTAGAGAAGAAGTGATTTTTGAGGAAATCAAAGAGAAGAGTTATTATGAAGTTTTATAGAGAAGTTGAGGATTTTTGTAAAGAAGTAGCCTTGAGAAAAATCAAAGTGAAAAGAATTTCGATGGTGTGAGTATTTTTATATATTACTATATAAAAATCTATTTTAGTCAAACATGATTATTTTACGGGGTTGGGTAGTACTTACTTAGCTCTAAAGCTAATTTTTGTTTTCTTTTCTTTGTTTTGTTTCTGCACTTTATTTGTGCAGGTGAGGATGATTTTGTCGATTGATGATTGCTTGCATGGCCCGAGAGCGAATTAGAAGTCACCTTAGTTATACTAGTCATGAAATAAATATTTACTTTACAAACACTTTATTTTTATTAAATTAGTTGTTATGTTTTAGTTGCCTGTGCATCCGGTTGAGAGATGACCGGATGTGGCGGTAACACCCATTTCCCTTATTAAGACTTCCGTTGTACTTTCTTTAAATTTTCATTATCAATAAATAAAAGTTTTATTTCAATTATATCAACGTTTTGGGTGGGAAATTTGGGGGTGTTACAGGGTAATTCCCGAGCTCGGTGTTTCCGCCAACCTCGAAGGGTCAAGGTCGGCCTCAGCTGGGTCTTCTGCCCTTTTTAATTCGATTCGTCGTCTTGTGCTTGGTCCCGACCTTGGTGGGTCGGGGTCGGCCTTTGTTGGAAGCTTGGTACTTTGAGTATTTTGAGATGCCTGTATGGCCTTTGACCAGCGATTATGATACCTCTGGGGTATATGAGAATATACTCCATCAATGAGTTCAGCGATTTGGTTTAGCTTGAACTAATTTTGGTTAGTGTGAGATTGAAATAGCCCAATTACAAAGATATTTTGAACTACACTAATGTATAATATATAGTCAATTTTAAATTTCTAAACCGTGAAAAGTCAAAATAAAATTTCAAATTGAGTAGAATTGAAATAGTAATTTTGAAATAATGATAAGTATTTGGTTAAAATAGAAGTAGTGAAGGG